TAATTATAGCTCCAGAGCCACGCAGGCAACATGTTTTTTTTTCTTGCACACAATATTTTTAATTTTTTTATTTAACCTTTATTTAACCAGGTAAGCCAGTTGAGAACAAGTTCTCATTTACAACTGCGACCTGTCCAAGATAAAGCAAAGCAGTACACATGCCAGTATTAACCATGCCCATCACATTTGCTTTGGCAGGGAACACAGAGGAATGGATGTTGGTAATTTTGTTTATACTGGCCTCTCTGTGAATCAAATACATAGTTGGGTTACTGACATATTGCCTTATCTTACTTTGCTTTGAATATTAGTATTGTGAGTGTGTAGGCCTAAATTGTGATTTAAAGTCCCTGGTGATGGAACCCAAGAAGAGCCCCAGAGCCTGCTTTGTTGTTTGAAAAATATCTCTATTGGGCAGAGCCAGATAATTTTTAAAGAGGAGGAGCCTGACCTAATGTATCCCAAATTAACTTTAGTTTGACCCTGTGGTAGTCATTGCAGCCATTAGCAGGCATTTTGGAGGAGAGCATTGGAAAACATAAGTGGGGAGAATTATAAATAAAACAATCTTCAACCAAAATGTTCTTTACAGAAGTAAAAAATGTTTGAAGGAGAAGCAGATTGATGATACAAGAAGGTTGGACTGTTGACTTGTGTGGGTAAATGTGGATGCCTCTGGACTGGCGAATTCCACTTCTTGCTCATCGTTAGCCACGGAAGCTAGTTCTTCCCTGCAGTCTTCCCTCTGTCAGTCATTGGGTGTCAGTGAGCATGCTCAGCACTGAGCTGAGCTCTGCTGCTCCTGCTGGATAGACAGGGTACTGGGCAGAGCAGACAAGTAGGCCTCTGGCCTTAACAGGAACGACCGGCTCTTATAGCGTCAGCTCGGCTCCTTGAAGGCACGGCCTCTCTGTTGCTGACAAAGGTATGGTGCACTGTGGTGAGGGTTGCAGGGAGGGGGGAGTAACATGGTGGGGGCCACATTACTGGAACCTTATACTGGGCCTATGACTCTGTTTTAGTGGAATAGGGGAATCATTGCTCTTTATTTCTCTATGCATGAATTAAATCACTCATGTTGTGGTTATCACAGTATTTCCTTCATCTCTCTTTTAAATTTGTCAGGCAACTGGTAAATCATTGTATAGCCACCTGTCCACAAGCTGTATGTAGCCTATTGTTTGTGATGTGCAGGTAGGATATGTGTAGATATGGGTTTAGCTAGTTCAAGTGTGAGGTGGCTGAAGTGCCTTCAACTTATCTCTCAAATGGTGAAATTAGTTGGTGAACTGGCCGATTTGGGATGTGTCTTGTGCTCGCTCTCACTGGGAAGAAGACTGTGATGAAAAACCCTTATCTTCCTTGTTTTTGGGTCATGATGGAGCATGCATCTTATCATCTAGAGATCCTACTCTTGGTGGGAAAACATGTGATGCCTCTTTTCGGTGAAACACTGTTATTTGATGGGGAGGCCTCTTTTGTTCAGGCTATTCTTTGATTAAATAAATCCAGCAGCAGTGCAATACTTGAATGGAACGTGAATACAGCGGTGTTCTACAAATTATTTGCAATGCAAGCTATTTAATCAATGTCATTTCCGTTAGATGCAGTCAGAACTGATCATAATGCAGTTGTCAACACCATTCAGGTTGTTGGTGGGCGATACATCCAGTTAGTGTTAAACTGTACAAAACGACAGACAATGACCCATCTGGACTCCTTAGTTTTAGGCCTACCTCAGAACAGCTTATCCAGATTTTTTCAATGAAGAATTGGGTACTTCTTGGCCCCTGGAGGTTGAGGGGTTCAAGTTTGTGACTGGAAAGTTGTTATTGCATTATGATTGACGTAGGGTAGTATAATTAGTATTATTGTGCTTTGTTAAAGTGAAATCATTGTTCCAATGAAGGTAATAGCTTACTGTTTTAGTACGGTACAGCTCCAAAACAATATTTTCTTGTTAGGTACGTGAACAATATTTAGGCTATTTTAAAGGCTATTAGGCTATCTGCAAATGTACGCTAGGCCTAGTATCAGAGACTTGGCCAGAGAAACTGTTTCCCTGATGTTCGACAAATAAAATATTTTCTGACATCCTAAATCTTGTTGATGTGATTAGGCCTTTACAGAAAATAATCTGTTGGATTGTGTAACTGATTGATGCCAGTGATTGAAATCATCCAGTAAAATTTGATGATTTTATAACTAGACATTCACATTCTGAAATGTGGTAAACCCCTTGACAGTTTTCCCATTGTTGTCTCTTGAAATCGTTTCACGAAATGGCTGCAATGTTTTTTCCCTCTTCCTTCTCCATGAAGAACAGCAGGGCTCCATCTGAGCATGCCCAGTAAAGGCCATGTCAGAGCTTTCTACAGAGAGTTGGTCATGTGACCTGAGCTGGGACGGTGCATGTGTGGGAAGCTAGATGTTGAGTGTGGAGCTCTACTTTCGCCCTTTCCCTCTTACTCCTCCCCCATCAATGGTGATTCACTGCTTTATCCAGGTACTTCTATGGTTGCCTGGGGGCGAACTTGAAAGAAAAAAGAACGGGATTATTACAATCTCAATTTTTATGTCTCTTCAAATGGAGCTTGCCCAGATGGACCTTGGTTGTCTTTTTAAATAGTTTGGGAATTGACAGCCTCCTTAATTTCTGTATTTTTTTAGAAGCGAAAACTCATGATTAATGAATTAATTCATTGGCTAATTAATTAGGCTAATCGATTTAATTGTTTCAAGGTTCCACAGACTTTTACCTGTAGACCAGTGACGCTCAGGTTTATCAATCAGGAGAACCAGATCCACAGCAAGACTTGATCAGCTGGCTATAGCTTAGTATGTGTCTATGGCTAAGCCACATTCCTGTGAATGACTGAGGGACTATCCTCTGAACGCTCCATGTACATGTAGAGGGGCCTCAAATCCATATCCACCCCAGGAGCTCAGCTCAGCAGGGACAGGGAATTGGAAGCCCTGTGTTCCCCTCCGACTCATTGAATTAGTTAATGAGGGCATCAGGCATTCTGTCTCTTTGTAGCAGTCGGGTTGATCTGGGAAAGGCCTTTGTTCCGAATGAACAGCATTGATGTTGTTTACAAATCTAGCTGAATTGTATGGTCTCCTCCTTAAATACAGCCTGTTGAACATTGTAATCCAGAGAATCAACCAATTGTGAAATATTCTATTGGAGTTGAGGGGTTAACTAACCTGTGTGGTGGCAGACTAGAGTGGGATGGAAACTGTCAGAAGGTAGAAGTCTTTGTCAAGCCCTTTTCTTCAAGGGTGTTAGCATGAAACCAGTCACCAGTTTTTGGAGAATTTATTGTAGAGTACTAGTGACATCTGGTAGCCTCTCTTGCCGTGTGTGCATAGGTTATACTCATTTTAGTGGCCATAGCCAGAAGAGATGAGGACTAAATGGCTCACTGGCAGTGGGCCCCCGGCTTTCTGTGGGCGTGTGGTAGCATACACTGCTGCGAGTGGACTGACAGAACTCCTATTCTGGCCTGAGCTCCTATAATACTGAATTATTTCGCTTTCTTTCTTGCTCTCGTTTTCTTCCTGTGTCGGCTCTATCAAGGTATCAGAAAATATGTTGATTCCTGTCCAACAGAGAACGTGAAACAAGAAACTGATTTTTATTTGTGGGATGTAAGATTGTGAAATATGGGGTTGTGGGTTTAAGGTCGTTTGATTTTGTGGAAAGGGACTGCTGACGTTTCTCAGATCCTACTCCATTGCCTGCCACTTAGCTAGTTCATAGAGCTTCAAAATGGCTGACATTCCTACTGAGCATGCTCGGTAGACTGCCTCTCACTCTGCTTTGTGGTGCCATGTTGAGAGCCTGACAATAGGGCAGCGTGAACACAGGACTGTAGAAGCAATGAGCAGAGGTGGACCCAGCAGTGTGAACCAATATTCTCGAAAACCTGACCCCAGGCAACAGTGACTAGGGTCTGATTTCAATGATGGACTCTTTTGGCATAATAGAACTACGTCGCTGCCTACGTCGATAAGAAAAAAACTATTCTGGGGACTCTCCCAACAAATCAGGAGGCAAACATGCCAGAACGTCCTGATTCAAAACCAAAGTTTGCTAGCAATCTTGCTAGCTACTATTTTGTGTTTTATTCAAGCGGATAAAGTAGTGACGTAGTTCTATGCCAAAAGAGTCCACCATTGAAACAAGACCCTATTCACTGTTGCCTAAGGACGGGTTTAAGAAACTAGTGAAGCAATGGGATTGGAGTTGATCCTAGAATAGATTGTGGTGTTCTGAATTGCAACCAAACAGAAAAATGATTTCGCCAAAAGGTAGCGACAGATCATCGGCAGTCCCCATACTTTGACGTCTTTTGATTTGGTTATAGTCTAGCCTAATTTTTCACAGAGATTGTCCTCACCCTCAAGCTTTCTATTTTATTTGGTTTAGAATTCACATGAGATTGTCTGCTTCAAAGGTCATGTCACAGAACAGTTAGCTAGATGCCTTTTCTGACTCTCCTAGCCTAGTGAAGTGGGCATCCATCATTTCACAGGGACATTACAGTAGGCCTATCTGTTGATGAGTTGGCTTGGCTGATGGCCAAGTGTGGCTCAGTTCATAGAGCATGGTGCTTGCAACGCCAGGGTTGTGGATTCGATTCCCACGGGGGACCAGTATGAAAAAGTAAGACGTATGCACTCACTATTGTAAATCGCTCTGGATAAGAGTGTTTGCTAAATGATTAAAATGTAAATGTAGAGGTGAGATGGCTGAGGATCGCTCCCATGCTAGTTACGTTGGGGCCTCTCCTCGTGGGCTCTATTTTAAAGGAGAACAGTGTTGATTGAGTTTTTAAGACGCTGACTCACACACAGCTCTCCTCTTTGGCCCCTTGCTTAGCTACCTTTTTTCACTTTTTGTTGCTGTTCCTGAAATGGCTGTGCGCGTTCATCAGCGCACAGGTCGCGAGAGAGAAAAAAAGAGGATCCGCTGTAATTCGAACTGACTGAGCATGCTCTGTGGAAGACCTCTGAAGAGGGACCGACAGAGGGAGCTGCTGGGTCACATGACCAACGAGTTGAATGTGTGCATGCGGGGAGGAAAAGGAAAAGAGGAACAATCCGTTCGAGACTCCCGCTCTCTCTCTCTTGCACCCACACTCTCGCTCTCCCTCTCAACCACTCTCCTCAATGGAGGCCATCAGGAGAAAGCAGGTATGATGCTTACTGCAAGCGCATATTTACCACAGGGAAGGGGACGTTAGCCTACTCTGGGCTGTGAAGCCAGACTTCAGAGTCCATGACAGCAGGCTTGAACAGAGAGTTTGATCAGTAATCAAGGCTTTTTCAGCCTGATGTGATCTATGACTACAGCATTTCATATGGCAGCAAGCCGCTACTACCCTGTGGTGAAGTGGTTAGTAATGCACTGTGTTCACCTGTGTCAGGTGTTAGAATAATGGATATTTGAGTTTCACAAAGGTGTTTCGTGGGTCCTGCTGTCTGGGAAATCTCCATTGATTGATAGCTGTGTTTGGAGCATTGACACAGTAGGCTGGAGATGAATGCACTCAGGGCAGAGGACTGACTTCTTAGAAATCTCAAATGGTGTTCCTCCCGGCCTTTCCGGCAGGCACTCCAGGACTCGGACCCATCCTCGTTTTACTCCTCTCGCTTTCCTTCTCTTTCTCTTTGCAGCCCTACCGTCTCCTTCAGGAAAAGGCCAAGGAGGTACCGCAGGGAAAATGTCCCATATGGTCAAATACACACTGGCGAGAAACCGAAGAAAGATGAATGACTGCAGGATAATCCTGTGCAATAGTCAGGCTCAGGACTCAGGTCTTATAATACCATAGCCTCAGTGCTGTTCCGCACCATCTTCAGTATCCAGTGTGATGGTGCCTGCATTTTGCACTCATAATGGCTTTGTAACAGTAGTTGATTTTTCACATTGTTTCAAGTCCAAACTCCTCGCTTTTTGTTCATGCAGCCGACTTGTTGTGAATTGAATGATACAAATAATCTTAGAGGAAAGAGAAGGCGATCTTCAAGATGTTGATGGTCATTGCTCAATAGCTGTTTTACCCATTGTTAATGAGTCTTTTGTTTAGGGTGTTGTTCTCTGGGGCGCTGGGCAGTCTAACACCTGTGATAGGAGGAGGCTATATTGTTGTTTACATTGCTAGGCTTTATTAGTAGATGTTTTCTAATCGTTCACAACCTTTCAATAGCTAGACAAGCCTAATTCAGGGGGCTGGTGTCAGAACCCACAACCCAAGATAGACTTTAGTCATGTAGCTAGCTGTGTTCTAATAGCTATAGGCTGCACTGACCTCACTGCCATTAGATTTATTTTTGGAAGAAATGGTTGGCAGATGCAGTCATTTTTAAATGACAGTGTCTGATATGAACATTTTATAAGCCGGTTTTGTTTTTTACAATATCTTATTTTTTGGCATTGTTTTTTTTAACATGCTTTTGTTATGTAGCCTACATTTGTAATGATTCTGATATATTTGTATTTTCTCATGTTGGCTAATTCTTTATTAGAACCAATAGGTGAATCTGCCTTTGAGCTCCCATCCCCCACCCATGTAAATCCTGGACACATGTCCCCCACCTAGTGGAAATGTGCAGCGTTGGCCACGTTGTGTCAGTAAACAATCTGGTTACGAAATGGCGGAGATCTGCAGACGGTCCTCTCTCTCTCCTCCCCCTCCCTTTCTCTCTCCAATGTGCAAGTTCCCTTTTCACCCACTAGGGGCAGGACTGAGGACATAGAGAAGCACGATTAGAGGAGGTTTCTTGAATCTATGAAGGAATACGAAAGGTTTTCTCCCCTCATACCTGTGTCGACCACACACCTTGGAATCTGTAACTCTGGAACCCCTTCTCTTCTACCTGGTCTCATGTGAGAATACCTCAGAGATCCTTTTTCTTTGGGTGCCTTTGATAGTTATCAGCTTGCTCTTGGGTGCAAGTCTCTCTTTTAGACGAGCAAGACCAACTTTCCCTGTAACTGTTGTAAAAGCTAAATTGCTATCTGATTGATGTTGGAAGACTTACTTTAGCCTACGTGATTGTGATTTTTCATAAAAAATCGAAGTAGCACTAAATCTAAGGCATTTCTCTCATAACCGAGAGGAGAGAGCAGGATAAGGCAGAGTGCTCAGAATACCAATGGATTTGTCTGTTGATCCACTGAGCTATGTGTGGCAAGAGCTACAGACAGAGCAACAGACAGGCCACTATATTGACATGCATGCATCTGCCTGACAGAGGACACCGGTGTCTTTGTCCACTGGGGTGTCAGTGGTCTTAGACAATTCACACAGCCCTTTGCTTAGACTTAAGGCAAATAAGCCTTAATGAATTATCAGCCTTGGGTCAATGTTCTGTCAGGTGCAGCTCCAGCGCAGGGTCTCCTGGCAAAAGGTCTCCTGAGTTTGTCGGTCAGACTCTGCTCTCCCTTCAAATCTAGCAGCTAGCCTTAGGTGACTTTAATCTGACAGGCATTGGCCAGGCTAATCCTGAAGGACACATTGAAACGAGAGGCCTCTCTGTAACCAATCCAATAGGTCCAGTCCTCTTCAGCTCCTGATGATGGCAGGGTGCCAAGAGGTGGGGGCCATCCTGTGGCGAGGGGACTGTGGGGGAGGTGGCCGTGGACAGCTGGTGAAGGAGGCTAATGCTAGGCTAGGCTATATCCTCCAATACCAAAGCACTGCACAACCTTCCCACTCTTAGCCAACATAAAACTCTGTGTAATGGCTCCCCTGGTGGAAACTGAGAGAAGGGCATCTTTTGTTGCGAGAGCAACATTAGGAGCAGACATTTTGTGGTGGTTTTAGAGGCAGGTGTCTGATGGGGTTTCCAATTGGAAGGCAAAGCTTTTGCGACGGGCCTGCGTTTTCAGGGGGGAGGGGAAGATGGTGAATTTCCTTCCATTGCGGAATTCTCTGACCTGCTTCCTCTTCTGAGGTTTTCAGACGTTCTGTAGCAGAAATACAGGTTGGAAAACCTGTCGGTTTGTAAAGGTGGATCCACTGGTATAACTGCATGTCCTCTTCTTTATCTTCTGTCTGATTTATCTGTTCAGTTTTTTTTCCCTGGGCCTGTCTGGTTCATGGTGTCTGCTGTCTTTATCCTTTGTTTGTTTTGTCTGGTGCTGCTGAAGGAAGATTGCATTAGCTGCTTGTATTGAAAGAGATGAGACAGAATAAGGCAAGGCAAACAAGAACAGATTATGGATTGTTTCTTGTCCCTGAATAGGTCTTCACCATAATCATCATAGTTGATTTGTGGTTCTGGTGCTAATCTGAGGAAGTTGGCCTTGTGCTACACTGTTAGAAGGGGTTCTCAATCACATTGTATTTGAGTATCTGAAGTATGATGACAGTTGGTTGAGCATGAGATGCTTCCTCTGGAGGTTTGAGATGTTGGAGGTAAAGCCGTTCAGTAGGCAGCTCTCTGGAGGAGGAGAGGAGACACTGTTTGATTCCATTCCCATTGCAGAGCAGCGGCCAAAACTGGGCCTTCAGCCAAGCATGTCAGCAGAGCGTAGTTAGTGACGCTAAGGGCCTGAATACAGAGGGCCAGAGAGAGGGAGCAGAGCACCGCCTTTCTTCCTGTTTGACCTCGGTGGTTAAAGAATTAGTAATCTGTAGTGTGGTGGTCCTGGATCCCACATGGGGAATTTCCCATAGTGAAGGTGCCTAGTCCCCTGTAGCTCAGTTGGTAGAACATGGCGCTTGCAACGCCAGGGTTGTGAGTTTGTTTCCCACGGGGGGCCAGTATGAAAATGTATGCACTCACTAACTGTAAGTCGCTCTGGATAAGAGCGTCTGCTAAATGAGTAAAATGTAAAAAATATAAAATGTGTCGTTTCTACCATGTCTGTCCAGCCAGTGTCTGTCATGTCATTTCAGCAAGCCATGACACCTACCATCTCAGATTGTTCTGAAATTCTTTCAATTTGAAGCTAATTGATTGCACCCAAATTGGCCATTTCAATTTATAGGATTAATATAATATTAAATAAATATAGTACCCAACATCCGATTTGGACCAAACCTTTTCTTAACCCCCACCACCACCATAAATTAGTGTGAAAGTACCAAGTTTGGCCCACTAGGTGCCGCTGTTCATGTTACTGCCACACCATTTTATAAATTTAGCTGATCTCTTCTGTTTATCAAATGGATCACAATGTTGTCTTTGCAACTTTGGGTAGAAAACCAAATAAATGATGTGGTCATCCTCACAAGTCAAGCCAGTCCTTCATGAAAGCAATTCAGTTTGTCTTTCTCTTAGCAACCTAATGCTTCAACTAGGGATGCACAATATATCGGTAAGCATATCGGAATGGGCCGATATTAACTAAAAATGCCAGCATCGGCTCTATGTATAGTTTAACGCCGATGAGCAAAACTGATGTCAAAGCAGACGTGAATACCTGTATAACGTAGGTAGATGACGTAATGATGCCATGAAAAATACAGCGCTACACGTGCAACACAGCATTCTTAACCTAGCCCACAATGTCTGCTGTGTGGATCTATTTTGAAGTTTCGAAGGAAGATAACAGAAAGGCCATATGCTACGTTTGTGCTGCTATTATTTCCCGAGGAGGGGAGAAAGTGAAATATTTCAATACCACAAACCTAATTACTCACTTGAAAGTGCAACACCCCCAGACGTTGAGCGACTACTTAGAACAAAAGCAGAAAAAAACTATAAGCGCACACTTCCAACAACTAAACAAGGTCAAGTCGAGCAGTCATTTGAAAGAGTAAGAACATTTCAGCGAGACAACTCAAACGCAAAATCCATTAATGCCGAGATAATGGAATTCATTGCCCTTGACAATCAACCGTTCTCTGTCGTGGATGATGTTGGCTTTTGCCGACTGGTCGAGCACCTCGAGCTCCGTTACACACTACCAAGGAGGCGCAATTTGTCAGATGTTTCCCTACCGGAGTTACACAGTATTGTTGAAATGCACATCCATGAGCTACTTGCTATGGGTGTCACTGCTATTAGCTTCACAACTGACATTTGGACCAGCGATGTCAGCCCCATGAGCATAATGAGTCAGCACAGTGGGTCGACAAGGATTTCGTACTGAGGAAAGCCGTATTGCATTCTCAAGAATGTGCTGGTTCTCATACCGCTGCTGCCATTTCAATGGCATTTGAGAACATGTTTGAAGCTTGGAAAATCCCCAAGAACAAAGTACACGCTGTGCTACGTGATAATGCACGTAACATGACAAAGGCTTTGGAAGAATGCGGAGTCGCCAGTTTGCCATGCATGGCACACACGCTGCAACTGGCTGTGAACTAAGGTGTTTTGGCCCAACACACCGTATCTGACACAGTGGCAACAGGTAGGAAGATAGTGGGTCATTTTAAACACTCACAGCTAGCATACAGCCACTTGCAAGCAATACAGGAGCATCTTGGAGTGAAAAAGAGAAGGCTGAAGCAAGATGTTTCCACCAGATGGAACAGTACCTTTTACATGATGGAGAGCCTGCTGGAACAAAAATGAGTGCTTGGCGTGTACGCAGCCAACTATGAGTTACCTGCAACAATCAGTACAAACCAGTGGACTCTCATTGAAAACATGAACACACTCCTAGCTCCATTCGAACAACTGACTTAAGAAATATGTTCATCAACTGCGTCTGCAGCAGACGTGATACCCTCTGTCATGGCATTGAAACGCCTGCTCAACAAAACTGCCGACACAGACCGTCGGGTTAAAACTTGCAAAAGTACTCTACTAGAGGCTGTGAACAAGTGATTCGGTGGCATTCACTCTGAGCCTCTTTACTGTGTCGCCACCATGCTTGATGCTAGGTACAAGGACTGCTACTAATTAATTGCAAAGTCCCTCTTTGCCATGTAAATGAACTTAATCCCCCCCAAAAAACATTTCCACTGCATTTCAGCCCTGCCACAAAAGGACCAGCTGCCATCATGTCAGTGATTCTCTCGTTAACACAGGTGAGAGTGTTGACGAGGACAAGGCTGGAGATCACTCTGTCATGCTGATTGAGTTAGAATAACAGACTGGAAGCTTTAAAAGTGGGTGGTGCTTGAAATCATTGTTCTTCCTCTGATAACCATGGTTACCTGCAAGGAAACAAGTGCCGTCATCATTGCTTTGCACAAAAAGGGCTTCACAGGCAAAGATATTGCTGCTAGTAAGATTGCACCTAAATCAACCATTTATCGGATCAACAAGAACTTCAAGGAGAGAGGTTCAATTGTTGTGAAGAAGGCATCAGGGCGCCCAAGAAAGTCCAGCAAGCGCCAGGACCGTCTCCTAAAGTTGATTCAGCTGCGGGATCGGGGCACCACCAGTGCAGAGCTTGCTCAGGAATAGCAGCAGGCAGGTGTGAGTGCATCTGCACGCACAGTGAGGCGAATACTTTTTGAGGATGGCCTGGTGTCAAGAAGGGCAGGAAAGAAGCCACTTCTCTCCAGGAAAAACATCAGGGACACACTGATATTCTGCAAAAGGTACAGGGATTGAACTGCTGAGGACTGGGGTAAAGTCATTTTCTCTGAATCCCCTTTCCGATTGTTTGGGGCATCTGGAAAACACCTTGTCCGGAGAAGACAAGGTGAGCGCTACCATCAGTCCTGTGTCATGCCAACAGTAAAGCATCCTGAGACCATTCATGTGTGGGGTTGCTTCTCAGCCAAGAGAGTGGGCTCACTCACAATTTTGCCTAAGAACACAGCCATGAATAAAGAATGGTACCAACACATCCTCCGAGAGCAACTTCTCCCAACCATCCAAGAACAGTTTGGTGACGACCAATGCCTTTTCCAGCATGATGGGGCACCTTGCTATAAGGCAAAAGTGATAAAAAGTGGCTTGGGGAACAAAACATCAACATTTTGGGTCCATGGCCAGGAAACTCACCAGACCTTAATCCCATTGAGAACTTGTGGTCGATCCTCAAGAGGCGGGTGGACAAACAAAAACCCACAAACTCCAAGCATTGATTATGCAAGAATGGGCTGCCATCAGTCAGGATGTGGCCCATAATTTAATTGACAGCATGCCAGGGCGGATTGCAGAGGTCTTGAAAAAGAAGGGTCCTACCCTGAAAATATTGACTCTTTGCATAAAATTAATGTAATTGTCAATAAAAGCCTTTGACACTTATGGAATGCTTGTAATTATACAAAAGTATACCATAGTAACATCTGACAAAAATATCTCATAACACTGAAGCAGTGAACTTTGAAGACCAATACTTGTGTCATTCTCAAAACTTTTGACCACGACTGTACTATTCCCAGGAATGAAGATGCACTTGGATACTGGAGAAGTAACAAACACTGTTTCCCCATCCTAGCTAAAGCTGCGCGCAAGTATCTTGGTGCTCCCTGTACTAGTGTGGATAGTGAGCGCCTTTTCAGTGCAGCTTCACACATGGTAGAAACCGACTCTCTTGTGACAAAGCCGAGCAGGTCCTCTTTGTGAAGAAAAACGTTCCCCAAATGTAAAGATTGTTAATGGGCAGTCCTATTGTAACCCAGCCATCTAGAGTCATTGGAAAAAAATGGACTAAGCACAATGGCTTTTCTGTTGTTTATTCATGGCTGGTATAGGTCAAGATTTTCATTTAATTTAAAACAAAGCAGTTTTGTTCTTTTTGTTTTTTAAATTTCCTTAATGAAAGATGAGGTGTTGTAAATGTGCTCGCATTTTACTAGTCAAGTCAGTTGAGCACATTTGAAAAGTTTAAGTAGGGCCATTTATAGCAGTTTATGACAGCCTAGAGACAGTAATCTTTTCAAGTGGCGCAGTGGTCTAAGGCACTGCATCTCAGTGCTTGCGGCGTCACTACAGACCCCCTGGTTCGATTCCAGGCTGTATCACAACCGGCCATGATTGGGAGTCCCATAGGGCGGCGCACAATTAGCCCAGCGTCCTCCGGGTTTGGCCGGTGTAGGCCGTCATTGTAAATAAGAATTTGTTCTTAACTGACTTGCCTAGTTAAATAAAGGTAAAATAAAAATATTTTCAAGCAGTTAAAGCTAAAATGATTAACTGCATTTTAGTTTAAACCAATATTTATTTCAAAACATTTTTAAGTTTCTCCATACAGTCAAGATTGGATAGTAAGAAGCGCCACCAACAACTTAACCATCTTTGTAATGTGGGGCAGCTAAAATATTTGTATCATGAATATCTGTTGTGCGATAAAATACATTCATGGATTGGACGGACATCACCATTTTCACTGAGAATACATGACATAGTATGAATAAACAATACACCAAGCCACAGCTTCATACTACTGATATATACTGGCCTTTGGGGTGGGCTTGGTTTTGGGTCCGTGGGTGGCTTTTGGCCATTTTTCTTAATTCCTCATGTCTTATTCATTGTTCGGAAGAAGTTTTGTCCAAAGTTAGGTACTATATTTATTGAACATTTTATATGCGTCCTATGAATTAAAATGGCCAATTTGAGTCAATCAATTAGCTTAATTTCTCAGAGAGAAAATTATATTTCAACAAAATAATGTTGCAGGAATGCTAATCTGCTCTGTTTCTTAACTACAGACGTGATTTCAGAACAATATAAGATGGTGGGTGTCAAAATCCTCTTTCTTGTGCTCTTTCAGGTGGAATGATCCATTAGGCTATGTAGTGTTGTTCATGAGTTATGTTCTGTGTCTGTTTATAGCCACTCAGAGCTATAGGCTATTTCAGCCATGGGATCATAAACTTCACATAATACTTCAAACTGTGGATTCTTTGGAATATGTAGGCTAAGCTTAAAAATCGTGTGAAATTGTGGACATTCTTAGGTTTATGAATGCATTCTGTTGGTCTGTAACCTCTCTAAACAGAGTAGGCCTGTATTTTGCGTAGCAAGGCTGCTAATTGTCCAGCATGCTTTTGTAGGCTATATGACATTCTCTGACCATATAGCTGTGTTCTTGACGCTGGGCATGGAGTTAACAGTGTGTGTGTGCTGTCAGCCCACAGGTCTGGCCAAAGGCAGAGTGGGTAAAGGGGAGTCCATGGAGGAGGGGATGGAGTCACCTGGGGACCGAGAGGAGGAAGGAGATGACTTCATCTTTAAAGCCATTACAGCTAAACATGGTAAGGTTTACTCCTAGTCTTCGTCTCTTGGGCTAGCCTAACATAAGACCATACTGTGAAACTGACTGATATCTACTGTTTCAGACCCATTGAGAGACGAGGAGGTAGCTGCCAGACTGGGATCCTCCCCCGGAGCAGAGGAGGAGCTAAACGGAACCTATGAGAGCGCAGAGGTGGGAAACGGACACCAGTGCCCCACCCCCCTGGCCTCCCAGGGCGACAAGTCTCAGGTGGTCACAGAGAATGGGATGTTGGAGACCGACCCACCTCACGGTTCCATCACCGGGAGTAATGGATACATCCTCAGCAAGCAGCAGCAGGAGGGGGGGTCTTCAACGGGGACAGGCTCGGTGGCTTCCCCACACAGGACTAGCTGGTTGCCCTCCGGCACCACAATGGTGGGACACACCACCAAAACCTTCCTGTCCTCCGCATCAGGGCACGCCCACAGTCCTGGCGCACTAAGAACTGACACCCACCAGGCCGGCTCCCCGTCGGGACAGGGGGGCTCAGACACAGAGACTAAAAATGGCACGTCCCCTAGCGACTCCCCCGCCCCTTCTCCGCTGTCCATCGCCATACACCGAGCCCGCAAGACCATGTCCAGGCCAGCATCCAACCAGACACTAAAGGTAATCAGTATTAGCCTAGTAAAGAGGGAGTCGATGAATGTTTCAGGTATTTGAGTGAGACATATGAGTGAAGTTCTACTAGAATATGAAGCATAGCCACCATTTGATTCACTAATATTTTATGTATATCCATAGCTTCTAAACAGGGAATTAAAAGAACCAAACGGTGCAGACGAGGAGAGTCAGAATGGACCAGAGGAGGAGAAGACATCCCCCTCCCAGAACCAGCTACCTCAGAGCCAAAACGACGTGCCGGCTGCAGCCACAGCCAAGTCCCAGACAGGTCAGAGAGACAGCACAGGGGCCTACAGTAGAGGGGAGAGGGTACAAGGCAAATAATGATCACACAGCCCACACACACAGCAAAAATTTTATTCAGTTATGTAATGGCAGTACTTTGCTTACTGAAGGCGTCTGTGCACTGTGATGTAAGAGGTTCATGGCTTTTTGAACTTAATTGGTTGCTCTTTTCCAGCAGCGTCGGTATCGAGGAAGAAGAAACGGAAGATGGGAACATACAGTCTGGTCCCCAGGAAGAAAACCAAAGTGCTGAGGCAGCTGACAGTGCTGGAGATGTTTAGTCATCTTCAACAATCGACTCAAAGCACACAGGTTTCACCTCTCCTCCATATACTATTTTAACTGTTTTAGAATTAATGGAAATTGGGATGAAATTTATTAAAGTTTGGATATGTAGCTGTCAGCATCATGTAATATTTCTCTGCTCCCCCTCCCAGCCTAAAGAGGTAGCACACATCAACGGGGAAAGGATGGAGAATGAGTCAGAGGAGGAAGATTTGGAAGATGGAGAGGAATGGGAGGAAGAGGAGGAACAGGGTGGAGAGGAAGGTGTCCCCACAGGCCAGGAGAAGAGTCGAACATCAAGCCCTGCCGTTCAGGTGGAAACCCATTTACTTCATTGTCTTAGTTTGTCTGTCTGCACCCCAGTTGATAACCTAGATAAAATTATGTTTCTATTACATTCATAGATATCACAGGTATAGAACCACAAATCAAGGTAGGAAATTCAATTAAATCCTTTACGAATGGCCAAACTTCCTTGACATTGTGTGATACTTGTCTGTTCAGGGAGAGGAGCCAGACTCTGAGGAATCCGCTGAAGAGGAAGAGGAAGAAGAGGAGAACGAGTCAGACTTGGTAAGATCACACAACTATTTTCACTTCTTTGAGTCCGTTGATTAGAACAACATCAACTAGCGTAAAGGAGTGTTTTTGTGAACCCAAAAATTATCAAAGCACAATCTTGTCCTCAATCATGTTGTTCCACCACCAGACTGAGGAGGAGTACATTGATTGTCATTGGAGAGAATAGAACTTTACATCTCTCAACTGATCTGCTTACACACAGAGCTCGGAATCCAGTGTGAAGAAGAGATTGAAAAAGAAAGTAAAGGGAGACAACGCCTGGCTCCGGCCGTCCAGGAAACGGAAAAGGAAGCCCAAGCCCAAGACTGAGGGACTCCCTGGTACAGTAACCCACCACTCTGCCTTATTAGGAACATTATGGAGACATCTGAATATATCTCCTACCTTTGACTTTCTGCTCCCTGTGCTAGCTAACTTTCCCTCCCCTTCCAGGCACAGGGCCCCAGCCCCAGGCCAGCCTCAATAAGGAGTACACAGAGGTTCCCCTCCACTTATTCAACCTCAAAGCCCAGGAGAAGCTGCTCTCCTCACTGCACACAGGTGAGTGAGGCCATAGAGGAGTAGGTGATGGGGGAGAATAAGAGGAGTAGGAAGGGGGGTTGCGAACTGAACTGCCTGTTGGTAAGATAATTCCGCTGAGATTTTCCCATCCATAGACTACCTTTAATGTTTCTGAGGACTCCGAAATGGTCTTGGTTTTATGAGGCAAGGCCTCTGTCCTCTCCTCAATGGACCAGATGAGAGCAGCACTGAGAGCCCCCTGGTGGTGATGTCTGTCATATAAAATATGATCAATAAGGGTATAGAACTGTACCACTATTGTAGCTCTTTGCAGTCTGTATCTTTATAAATTAATCTCTATAAACTCTTGGAAAGCGCAGTAAACCTGTGTCTAGTTATGGTCACATTGACGTCTGTTGGATGAGCTGAGTGGATGGTCCTCTATGCAGGAGTTTCTGGGGCTGTGGGAAGTGTGGAGCCAGAGATGGTGCAGGAGCTGTCCCTCTGCAGCTGTCGCATGGAGACGCCTAAGAGTCGGGAGATCCTCACGCTGGCTGACAGGAAGTGCATGGCCACGGAGAGCGTCGACCGACAGGTGAGCCTTGATGCTAGGCCTCATCCTATTTTTGCACGTCATTCCCTATGTCCACTTACAGTGGGGGAAAAAAGTATTTAGTCAGCCACCAATTGTGCAAGTTCTCCCACTTAAAAAGATGAGAGAGGCCTGTAATCTTCATCATAGGTACACGTCAACTATGACAGACAAATTTAGATTTTTTTTTCCAGAAAATCACATTGTAGGATTTTTAATGAATTTATTTGCAAATTATGGTGGAAAATAAGTATTTGGTCACCTACAAACAAGCAAGATTTCTGGCTCTCACAGACCTGTAACCTCTTCTTTAAGAGGCTCCTATGTCCTCCACTCGTTACCTGTATTAATGGCACCTGTTTGAACTTATCAGTATAAAAGACACCTGTCCACAACCTCAAACAGTCACACTCCAAGCTCCACTATGGCCAAGACCAAAGAGCTGTCAAAGGACACCAGAAACAAAATTGTAGACCTGCACCAGGCTGGGAAGACTGAATCTGCAATAGGTAAGCAGCTTGGTTTGAAGAAATCAACTGTGGGAGCAATTATTAGGAAATGGAAGACATACAAGACCACTGATAATCTCCCTCGATTTGGGGCTCCACGCAAGATCTCACCCCGTGGGGTCAAAATAATTACAAGAACGGTGAGCAAAAATCCCAGAACCACACGGGGGGACCTAGTGAATGACCTGCAGAGAGCTGGGACCAAAGTAACAAAGCCTACCATCAGTAACACACTACGCCGCCAGGGACTCAAATCCTGCAGTGCCAGACGTGTCCCCCTGCTTAAGCCAGTACATGTCCAGGCCCGTCTGAAGTTTGCTAGAGTGCATTTGGATGATCCAGAAGAGGATTGGGAGAATGTCATATGGTCAGATGAAACCAAAATAGAACTTTTTGGTAAAAACTCAACTCGTCGTGTTTGGAGGACAAAGAATGCTGAGTTGCATCCAAAGAACACCATACCTACTGTGAAGCATGGGGGTGGAAACATCATGCTTTGGGGCTGTTTTTCTGCAAAGGGACCAGGATGACTGATCCGTGTAAAGGAAAGAATGAATGGGGCCATGTATCGTGAGATTTTGAGTGAAAACCTCCTTCCATCAGCAAGCGCATTGAAGATGAAACGTGGCTGGGTCTTTCAGCATGACAATGATCCCAAACACACCGCCCGGGCAACGAAGGAGTGGCTTCGTAAGAAGCATTTCAAGGTCCAGGAGTGGCCTAGCCAGTCTCCAGATCTCAACCCCATAGAAAATCTTTGGAGGGAGTTGAAAGTCTGCGTTGCCCAGCGACAGCCCCAAAACATCACTGCTCTAGAGGAGATCTGCATGGAGGAATGGGCCAAAATACCAGCAACAGTGTGTGAAAACCTTGTGAAGACTTACAGAAAACGTTTGACCTGTGTCATTGCCAACAAAGGGTATATAACAAAGTATTGAGAAACTTTTGTTATTGACCAAATACTTATTTTCCACCATAATTTGCAAATAAATTAATTAACAATCCTACAATGTGATTTTCTGGATTTTTTTTTCTCATTTTGTCTGTCATAGTTGACGTGTACCTATGATGAAAATTACAGGCCTCTCTCATCTTTTTAAGTGGGAGAACTTGCACAATTGGTGGCTGACTAAATACTTTTTTCCCCCACTGTGTCACATTCCCTCCCTATATCTTTGGCTGCGTCCTGATTATCCACCACTTTCTACCTTTTCATCCTTTGTTTCTCACTCATACATACCTCTTTCCGTCTCCTCACAGCTGAGCCGGTGTCAGAGTGCGGTTCTAAAGCATGAGATGATGCGTCCCTCAAATTCTGTGCAGCTGCTGGTGCTGTGTGAGGACCACCGGGCTGGCATGGTCAAGCACCAGTGCTGCCCCGGCTGTGGCTTCTTCTGCAGTGCCGTGAGTACTGGAGCCTCCCTGGGGTGGGAATGGGCAAACACTGCATCTATTGTGGAAAGTATCTTCTAGTAAGCCAGGAAAAGCTCTTGGTCCTAATTATAGTGGTTAGGAAAAAACCTGGCCCTACTTATAACACTGAACTAGCCAAGGCCTTTATTCATTCTGTGATGATTATGGCCTTCCAAAACATTAAAACATTAGGATTCTTCAATGGCGGACACACTGACCTGGCTGTTTGGGTTGTAGGGGACCTTCATGGAGTGCCAACCAGACATCAACATCTCTCACCGTTTCCACCGGGCCTGTGCCTCGGTGCTGAAGGGCCAGACCTTCTGTCCACATTGTGGGGAGGAGGCTAGCAAGGCCAAGGAGGTCACCATCGCCAAGGCCGACACCACCTCCACCGTGCCCGCCACACATGCTTCACATGACCCTGCCACACCCAGGACCGCAGAGGGCAGGGCAGACACCACCACTGGAGGGTAGGTTCACAGCACTGTTGGGGATAATGGGTTGGGGGGGGCTTCCATTACAGTCAATAGCAGGTAAAGAAAGGAGCCGAATGACACATTTTCATCAATACATAGTTTCCTCCTATTATGTATTGCTTTCAATCTGGGAAGATGACACTGGTAATATGAACAGTATCACTCTTCTGTTGTAGTGATCAGGCATTGACCATCCTTCTGTGTGTGTTTCAGTCCATCCCGTCTCTCTGTGGGAGGTGATCTGAGTGGCCAAGCAGACAGCTCTCTCTCCATCCCACCTGGGCACACACTGGACACCACCTTCCCTGGGGGCTCCAGAACCGGAGTACTGCCTCCTGCTGTGGGCATGGGGATCGGCATAGGAGTGGGAACCGCCCCTAAAGAGACCTTGGAGAGCATCCTGCTGGCACTGGACACAGAGAAGTAAGACATTCTACCAAGACTCGAGGTTGAAGAGTGCTGCTCTACCATGCAATTGTTTGATTGTCCTGTTAGTATTTCACTCTCTCACTACCGCCTCCTCACCATAAGTCTCCTCTTGCTCTCACACTCTTAACCACTTTTAGTGTTACTAACAAGGTTTCGATCCAACCTTTTTATGCAAGTAGTAGATTTACATTGACATTGTAGTCATTTAGCAGACGCTCTTATCCAGAGCAACTTACAGTTAGTGAGTGCATACATTTTTCATACTGGCCCCCGTGGGAAACTAACCCACAACCCTGGCGTTGCAAGCGCCATGCTCTACCAACTGAGCTACACGGGACAATGTCGGATAAAAAATGGCACGACCCACCTGATGGAAACGGCACATTTGGCAGTGAACTTTCCAAATGTCGACAAAACAAATTATGCCAGACAAGGTGGGATATTTTTGTCTTTAAAATTAATTATGCGAGAAAGGGCGGTGGAATCCCCTTTATGCGCATATATTGATATAAAAACCATCATATCGAAGTAAACTTGGAGTCACGCGATGGTATGCTGTGTGGTCCTCCCACTACGACTTGGAATAGCATGCAGTTTATTAGGCTACAGATGAAATAAGTTATGATCACAGGGTGGTGAAAGTGCACGGTGATAAGCTTGATGCTCCTTTCCAATAAATATTGAGGATTTTATTCTGGGGACATGATTATCAATGCTTGACTGCCGTCTGACAAATAAAAATAATCTCTCTCTTATTCAAAATAATCTCATGTAGATAGCCTACCCGGACTGTATCTGCGAGCTGTTGGCTAGAGCGCACCTGCCAAGGCCAGAGTGGGCACATTTGTTATATAACGCAACATTTGTTGTGACAAAACCATCAGCAGAGTTGAAAATGCGATGGAAACCCATTTTAACTTGTATTTTTATTCGGTACATGGGAATTTAACCGCAAAAGTTATTTTATGTGCGCTATGTCATCACGCACAGCCTTTTATCTGCAACAAGTCAATTTGATGGAAACATCTCTGGTGGGAAAATGTGCGTTTTAATGTGGATTTTTGAATATTTGCATGAAAATCTGTCACCAATTGGATGGAAACCTAGCTATAGGCACTGAATAGCTAGGTTTACCATCCAATTGGTGACAGATTTTCATTCAAATATTCTGAAATCTGCATAAAAACATTTAATTTTTTTTACATTTTAGTCATTTAGCAGACGCTCTTATCCAGAGCTCTTATCCAGAGCGACTTACAGTTACTTACAGGGTTGTGGGAATCGAACCCACAACCCTGGCGTTGCAAACGCCATGCTCTACCAACTGAGCTACCTCCCTGCCGGCAATTCCCTCCCCTACCCTGGACGACGCTGGGCCAATTGTGCGCCGCCCCATTGGTCTCCCGGTTGCGGCCGGCTACAGCAGAGCCTGGATTCGAACCAGGATCTCTAGTGGCACAGCTAGCACTGCGATGCAGTGCCTTAGACCACTGCGCCACTCGGGAGTGGCTCCAAGTCTACATTGATATGATGGTTATTGTATCAATATTTGGGTACAAAGGCGTTTCCACTGCCATTTTTCACATAATTCATTTTATAGACACAAAAAGATTCCACTTTGTCTAGTGTAATTTATTTTGTCGACATTTGGGAAGTTTAATGACAAATGTGCTGTTTCAATCAGGCCTGTCGTGACCATTTTTATCCAACATGTACTTTACTCACAAAAAGGTTGGATGGAAGCCTGATTAATAATAGCACTCACTTTCACTCAATCTCACTCATTCTCTGGGTAGGCAGACAGCTGGACGGACAGACAGACTTGTCTCTTGCCCTCTGACTCTATGATCCATCATCTGGCATCCTTCCAGTTAGCTGAGGAACCATCAACTCTGTTCTCTTATATCAAGGCGGAGTTGTTTTAATGACTGGTCGCAGGATTTGCTAGCAACAACATTGTCACCATCAGTCGATTCTTGTAAAAATGTTAATTCTGAAAACGCTTACCTGTACAGACGGTATGTTTGTCCTGTACAACTGCAGTCCTCCCGTGGGGAGTTGAAATTCATACTTTTTAATAAAAACGTTTAGCAAATACAACCAACTTTTTCATTGTTGCTCGTACTACATATGGTGATATTCAATTGGAACCGTGCTATCCGGAATCCTTGGGATGTCCCTACCACATTGAAGTTTACATTTTAAATGGTAGGGATTAGGGTTTAGGGTAGGGATGTCCCAAGGATCCCGGATAGCACGGACCCAATTGAATCTCAGCTTATGTAGTATGAGCAACGGGGAAAAGGTCAGTGGTCGTATTCACTAAAAGTTATTAGAATAATGAATTTCAGCACCCCGCGGAAGGACCACAGTTGTACAGGACAAACATAGGTACAGGTAAGCATTTCCAGAATTGCATTTTTTTTACAAGAATCAACTGATGGTGATTTTTTTTGTTTGTTGTGGGGGTAGATAAGCTTAGTATTGCAGATAGATGATGTCCGTCCGGTTTGCTTATATATGCCATATCTTTCTAACTGTTCTCTTTCACAAAAGCTCCCAACGTACAACCTATATACTTATTATGGACACAGTATGCTTACATTATTAGTTATCTTGTTATTAGTTGTTATTAGTCCCATCATTCAACTCCATTCAACACCACCCATCTATCTCTTAACACCATCCATATAGGATTTATATTTGCCATATATTTTTCAACTGTACTGTGATGTTTTACAATAGTTCTGAACCACAATGTTGTTGCTAGCAAATCCCGCAAGCAGTCATAAAAACTAAACTCCGCCTTGATATACAGTGCATTCGGAAAGTATTCAGACCCCTTTACTTTTTCCACATTTTTTTTACATTACAGCCTTATTCTTTTTTTTTTACTCGAAATTGCGCTCAGGTGAATTCTATTTCCATTGATCATCCTTGAGATGTTTCTACAACTTGATTGGAGTCCACCTGTGGTAAATTCAATTGATTGGATATTATTTGGAAATGCACACACCTCTCTGTACAAGGTCCCACAGTTGACAGTGCATGTCGGAGCAAAAACCAAGCCATGAGGTCGAAGGAATTGTCCATAGAGCTCCGAGACAGGATTGTGTCGAGGCACAGATCTGGGGAAGGGTACCAAAACATTTCTGCAGAAATGAAGGCCCGCAAGAATACAGTGGCCTCCATCATTCTTAAATGGAAGAAGTTTGGAACCACCAAGACTCTTCCTAGAGCTGGCCGCCCGGCCAAACTGAGCAATCGGGGAGAAGGGTCTTGGTCGGGGAAGTGACCAAGAACCCGATTGTCACTCTGACAGAGCTCCAGAGTTTCTCTGTGGAGATGGGAGAACCTTCCAGAAGGACAACCGTCTCTGCAGCACTCCACCAATCAGGCCTTTATGGTAGAGTTGCCAGACAGAAGCCACTCCTCAGTAAAAGGCACATGACAGCCTGCTTGGAGTTTGCCATAATGCACCTAAAGGACTCTCAGACCATGAGAAACAAGATTCTCTGGTCTGATGAAACCAAGATTGAACTCTTTGGCCTGAATGCCAAGCGTCACGTCTGGAGGAAACCTGGCACCATCCCTACGGTGAAGAATGGTGGTGGCAGCAGCATCATGCTATGGGGATGTTTTTCCGTGGCAGGGACTGGAGACTAGCCAGGATTAAGGGAAAGATGAACGGAGCAAAGTACAGAGAGATCCTTGATGGAAACCTGCTTCAGAGCGCTCATGACCTCAGATTGGAGCAATGGTTCACCTTCCAACAGGACAACGACCCTAAGCACACAGCCAAGACAATGCACGAGTGGCTTCGGGACAAGTCTCTGAATGTCCTTGAGTGGCCCAGACAGAGCCCGGACTTGAACCCGATCGAACATCTCTGGAGAGACTTGAAAATAGTTGTGCAGCGATGCTCCCCATCCAACCTGACAGAGCTTGAGAGGATCTGCAGAGAAGAATGGGAGAAACTCCACAAATACAGGCGTGCCAAGCTTGTAGTGTCATATCCAAGAAGACTCGAGGCTGTAATTGTTGCCAAAGGTGCTTCAACAAATTACTGAGTAAAGGGTCTGAATACTTATGTAAATCTTATTTCAGTTTAATTTAATTTGCAAACATTTCTAAAAAAACAGTTTTTGCTTTGTAATAATAGGGGTTTGTGTGTAGATTGAGGGGAAAAAAACAATTTAATCAATTTTAGAATAAGGCTTTAACGTAACAATGTGGAAAAAGTCAAGGGGTCTGAATACTTTCCGAATGCACTGTAAGAGAATGGAGTTGAGGGTTCCTCAGCTACCTACCTGTGTGATCTGAACATGTTTATGCACATGTTAAATTATTTCTGTTTTCTATCAATATTTTCCTGTTATTGTGAAGGTGTATTCCTGTGACTGACTTCCTCCATGTGTCCTCTGTGTCCTGCATCAGGCCCAAGAAGCTGCGGTTTCACCCCAAGCAGCTGTTTATCTCTGCTAAACAGGGGGAAATACAGAAGGTCTTGCTCATGCTGGGTGAGGGAGATAACTTTTAACTAAGATCTCAATGGGCTATGATGGCCATATTAAACAATCAACAAAAACGTCATTATCCGGTCAGGTTTTTGTGAATAACAAATGTCCCTCTGTATCCCTGTCCACCAGTGGATGGGATAGACCCTAACTTTAAGATGGAGAGCCAGAGCAGGCGCACCCCCCTCCATGTGGCAGCTGAGGCAGGCCACCAGGAGATCTGTCACCTGCTGGTTCAGGTGAGGCTTGGCTATGGTTCCCACTGGGAGTGGATGAGTGAAGGGGTAGACAATGCATTACATGGACATGCATAGAAACCAAGCTTTTCAGCATGGGTTAAATGGCATCAGTTGCCTCACCAGCTTATTATGTTGTACATATATTGACGTCTTATAGTGGATCATTATAATCGGACAATCATCAAAATCTTATCATGGACCAATTTCAATAGTATTGATGAGTAAATCAGAGTAGATTGATCTAGTAGTTTTGGTCTGTCCCTCCCTCCCTACCAGTCTGGTGCTAACCTGGACATCTGTGATGAGGACCAGCGCACGCCCCTGATGGAGGCCTGTGAGAACAACCACCTGGAGGCAGTCCGCTACCTGCTGAGGGCAGGAGCCATCGCCAGCCACAAGGTGGGTTCACCAACCCCCTCTAACACCACAACAACACACATACCTCATTCTCCAAAGAGGCTTCATTAGTCTATATTTCCATAGGGGCAGTGGATTTGATGTTGCTGTATGTAACTCAAGTGCCATTCTTGTTTTAGGCTTACAGTGAGGGAAAAAAGTATTTGATCCCCTGCTGATTTTGTACGTTTGCCTACTGACAAAGACATGATCAGTCTATAATTTTAATGATAGGTTTATTTGAATAGTGAGAGACAGAATAACAACAACACAAATTCAGAAAAACGCATGTACACATTTTTATTAATTGATTTGCATTTTAATGAGGGAAATAAGTATTTGACCCCTCTGCAAAACATGACTTAGTATCTGGTGGCAAAACCCTTGTTGGCAATCAGAGGTCAGACGTTTCTTGTAGTTGACCACCAGGTTTGCACACATCTCAGGAGGGATTTTGTCCCACTCCTCTTTGCAGATCTTCTCCAACTCATTAAGGTTTCGAGCCTGACGTTTGGCAACTCGAACCTTCAGCTCCCTCCACAGATTTTCTATGGGATTAAGGTCTGGAGACTGGCTAGGCCACTCCAGGACCTTAATGTGCTTCTTCTTGAGCCACTCCTTTGTTGCCTTGGCCGTGTTTTGGGTCATTGTCATGCTGGAATACCCATCTACGACCCATTTTCAATGCCCTGGCTGAGGGAAGGAGGTTCTCACCCAAGATTTGACGGTACATGGCCCCGTCCATCGTCCCTTTGATGCGGTGAAGTTGTCCTGTCCACTTAGCAGAAAAACACCCCCAAAGCATAATGTTTCCACCTCCATGTGTGACGGTGGGCATGGTGTTCTTGGGGTCATAGGCAGCATTCCTCCTCCTCCAAACACGGCGAGTTGAGTTGATGTCAAAGAGCTCGATTTTGGTCCCATCTGACCACAACACTTTCACCCAGTTCTCCTCTGAATCATTCAGATGTTCATTGGCAAACATCAGACGGGCCTGTATATGTGCTTTCTTGAGCAGGGGGACCTTGCGGGCGCTGCAGGATTTCAGTCCTTCACGGCGTAGTGTGTTACCAATAGTTTTCTTGGTGACTATGGTCCCAGCTGCCTTGAGATCATTGACAAGATCCTCCCGTGTAGTTCTGGGCTGATTCCTCACCGTTCTCATGATCATTGCAACTCCACGAGGTGAGATCTTGCATGGAGCCCCAGGCCGAGGGAGATTGACAGTTATTTTGTGTTTCTTCCATTTGCGAATAATCGCACCAACTGTTGTCACCTTCTCACCAAGCTGCTTGGCGATGGTCTTATAGCCCATTCCAGCCTTGTGTAGGTCTACAATCTTGTCCCTGACATCCTTGGAGAGCTCTTTGGTCTTGGCCATGGTGGAGAGTTTGGAATCTGATTGATTGCTTCTGTGGACAGGTCTTTTATACAGGTAACAAACTGAGATTAGGAGCACTCCCTTTAAGAGTGTGCTCCTAATCTCAGCTCGAGCCAGAAATCTTTCTGATTGAGAGGGGGTCAAATACTTATTTCCCTCATTTAAAATGCAAATCAATTTATAACATTTTTTACATGCGTTTTTCTGGATTTTTTGTTATTGTTATTCTGTCTCTCACTGTTCAAATAAACCTACCATTAAAATTATAGACTGATCATTTCTTTGTCAGTGGGCAAACGTACAAAATCAGCAGGGGATCAAATACTTTTTTCCCTCACTGTAGGTAATAGTGTTTTGATAGCCAACTAACAGGGCTTGCATGCTATGTGGAGTGTTGCATTGTATTACAGTGGTACAGATCTTATGACTGTCGCAGTGTGTTGACTCCCTTCTGTTCTCCAGGATGTGGAGGGGTTCACTTGTCTCCACCTAGCTGCTAAGATTGGCCATTATAACATCGTGGAGCATCTCCTCTCCACAGGACTCATAGACATCAACTGTCAGGTGAGTTCTGCTTTTTTTCATTCATGAACCAGTGAAACACAAATTCAGTGAGCATAACCGTAATTCTGCACAATGTTTAGTCCCTCAAGATGATTATAGCTTAGCATGGCTTGTGTTGGTTGTACCACTGAAGTAAATCAGAACCAGGAGTGCTTTAATGTTAATCCAGTTCTATTTTCCTCTGGCCTGTGTTTGTGTTGTGCCCTCACTAGTAGCCTTTCCGTAGGGTTCTGACTAGGGCTGTTGCGGTGACCGTATTATCACCACACCGGCGGTCACGAGTCATGAAGCAGTCAAATTCCATGTGACTGTTTAGTCACGGTAATTAGGCTTCTCCAAGCTCTGATGCTGCTGATGGCCATTAGTAGCCTACCAAACATGCTAACTGCCTGGTACTCAGCACTCTATTGTCCCTCTAATCACTCTGACATCAATTCAAATGTAATCGACAATCTAATCAAACACTTAATGAGAGCCCATGAGCTCATGTTGCGCAACATTTCTATAGGCTATGCAATTGCGTGAGAAAACAGAGTGATGGCCTCTACTAAAAAGAAGATCCCATCAGCTTTATTTAGGCTTACTATATTTATTTCTCAACATTCTTAATCATATCAAATTTTATTGGTCACATACACAAAAATTTTTTGTATGTTATTGCCGGTGTAGTGAAAAGCTTGTGTTCCTAGCTCCAACAGTGCAGTAGTATCTAACAACACACACAAATCTAAAAGTAAAATAATGGAATTAAGAAATATTTAAATATTAGGACGAGCAATGTCGGAGTGGCATTGACCAAAATACAGTAGAATAGAATACAGTATATACGTATGAGATGAGTAAAGCAGTATGTAAACATTAGTGACTAGTGTTCCATTATTAAAGTGGCCAGTGATAATATGAAGCACATTACTTATCTTTACAACAGGAGTATACCCTACCTGGCTGGCATGAAAATGAACCACGGGAAAAGCGTCCTCCATTCGCTATTTAAGTGCATAGATGACATTTATTTTTTCCCACTGCCTCTGTTTCAAGATAGGTGCATGCTAATGGTCCATTCTAAATCAAAACAAATTTCACACATATATTATTTACTTTATGTAAAGACCAGATTAAATCAAGAATAGTCTGATGGGTGACAGTATTAGCCGATCACTTGTGAATTATATATTATCACTTGTGAGTAATGCCCAGCATAAGAAACAATGCCTTTTTTTGTGACTTTTTCTAATCATAGTCGCACACCTCATGTAGCCTAGCCCATAGGCCTATATGTTTTAATAAGGTTTGTATCACAACTAAAGTGGCCAAATAACTTCTTAAAATTAAGCACATTAATCGGCTTTACAAGGGGTCTAGAGCCTAACTGGCATGCATAAGTGTTTCAAGTTTGGGGAAGATCATTTTCACCATAAAAATGCACCTTTATAATAAAAACATTACATGCATAATCGCATTTGCGGTCACTTTTGATAATGGTGTTTTCCTGCTAATGGAACGTTCGCGCTTATAGCCTACTGCCATGTGCGCATTGCTGCGCTTATAATGTCAAGAAATGGCCTAATAGTTTATCAACATTTTAAGCTAAACGTTTGCTGTTCGTTAGGCCTACTCATCTTGTTGGCTGACGATATCTTCAATATGCACCTCGGAATTGGATAAGGACGCGCGCAGTTGCGTCTCAGATGTGTCTGTCTTCACTTGTAGCCTGTGAGAAAGACCCGATCACGTGATGGAGAACCATGTGAGTGAGCGGTGGTTCGGAGCGCGCAGCACTCCCGGCCAAGGGCACAACGGCCACTGGCTGCAAAAGGCATTGATTCTTTTAGTGATGCATTACGGCCACACAAAGGGGATGCCACCGGGAAATTTGAGGCATTATCAAGTGCTTGTCAAATTGTGAATGAGAGACTGTGTGTGTACAGCCTGCGCAAAAAAACTAAGCAGAGCTCATGCCTTTCAAGCAAGTTTTTTTCTAATCGTCATTAGTCGCATCATGCAGCCTTACAATGTATTAAAAATCTAAACATATAGGCCAACGTTTGTAGAACAACTAAAGTTACATTAATAACTCTAAATTAAGCATATAGGAGTACCTATTTCTTTGTTAACTGCTCAACACAGAATAGCCACGTGCGCACTCAAATCGTTTGTAGAAATTATCATTTCTATTTTATTCAGCTTTGTTAAATTGTAGTCTTCATACTATAAAATAATGCCACGGAATTCTAAGCAAATCTTGTCTGCTAAATGAACTAGTGTAGCCCAAAGCCATTTGGCATAGCCAGATCAGGACCTAACATAAGGACAACTCAGAGTATGCTATTCTGTTCTTCTGAAATAGGTCTAAAGAAGCATGATATGTTCTATCTAAAATAAATAATGGGTTTATTGTGAAGGTGTAGGCTATATTACATGGATTTATTTGACTTTTTTAAATGTAGATGTTCCAAATGTTTGCATCAGTGGCTTGTAGGATATGTGTGGAAGCCAGGAGATGCTAAATGTGTTTATGTTAATTAACGGTCAATTACCGTGAAACCGACAGTTATTTGCTTGACAATCACCGGCTGACGGAATTTCGTGACCGCCACAGCCCGAGGTCTGACTCTCCTCTCGGTGGGTGTGCTGCTCCCATCTGCTCCACATGGGGTCCTAAGGGTTTCCTCTTACATTGTAGCCGCTGTAGAATGATCAGTTCTTTCTCAGCATGCGTTAGTTAAGATTACAACCCCATTGGCTACCCTGCTGACATGACAGCCAATTTGTTTGTGTAAAGCTACTGAGCAAGTTGACGTTGACCTCCTCTATTCTGGCCATCTCTAAAACGGTTGTTTCTCTTTGCCTCAAAAATGTATCTGATATCAAGGTCGTGTGGCAGAAATGCTCCAGCATTTCAAAAGGAGATATCCTTCGTCCTTTGTGTGCCTCCATCAAAGGCCCTCTGAGGCCATATGCCTGTGGGACTGCAGAGTTTAGAACCCGAGTATGGTATTTGATGTCCTCTATTTGAAGTGGTTGACCTTGCTGCAGGTATTGATCCATTATGGCAGGAATGATGTCATGGCAGTCCATGTCCTTGTGGTAATACATCCTCCTCAACCTCTTATAATATCTCTTGGAGGTTAGTTACAATGATCATTGTTATATCCAGGACATTGAAGCAATCCCATGCTGTAGGGGCCCGTTCTTAAAGCTGTCATGTGTTACTCTTTCTAGGACGATGGCGGTTGGACGGCTATGATTTGGGCAACAGAGTATAAGCACCTAGAGCAGGTGAAGATGCTGCTCAATAAAGGGGCTGACATCAACATCAGGGACAAGGTCAGTAGCTAGGGGTAACCAAGGGTCCTCATGACCTCACACAAGCCAAATTGTTTTTGTTTCAATTACTTGTTGTGTCTATGACTTTGTTGTGTCTATGACTTTGTTGTGTCTATGACTTTGTTGTGTCTATGACTTTGTTGTGTCTATGACTTTGTTGTGTCTATGACTTTGTTGTGTCTATGACTTTGTTGTGTCTATGACTTTGTTGTGTCTATGACTTTTTCGTCTCTATGACTTTGTTGTGTCTGACTGAATTTGCTAACTGTTGTCTGTTTGTAGGAGGAGAACATCTGTCTCCACTGGGCGGCGTTCTCTGGCAGTGTGGATATTGCTGAGCTCCTCCTAGAGGCCAAGTGTGACCTCCATGCTGTCAACATACACGGGGACTCCCCTCTGCACATCGCTGCACGGGAGAACAGGCTCGAATGTGTCACGTGAGTAGAGGTTGAGGGGATATGGCTCTGGTGATTCAGCAATAAGTAATATAATCTCCATCTATAGCACTGCTGTGGCTGTAGCATCCATTATAATAACCGAGGCTATAGCCATATCAGGACTATTCCATCTAGTACAGTTAAGTGATGGTGTTGAAGGCTATGGTCTGTGGCCCCTCAGGGTCTTCCTGTCTCGTGGGGCGGATGTCAACCTGAAGAACCGTGAGGGGGAGACGCCGCCAGACTGCTGCAGCCACAGTTCCAGGGTCTGGCTCACCCTGCAGACTAACAGGAGGGTGAAGGAGGCCAGGAGCAGCACCCAGGGGGAGAAGGTCCTTAACAGGTAGAATTCCTTGATCTCCATCTCTCTCTCAATAATCTCATCCATTTCTCTCACACATGTACCTTTCTGATTCTCTGGTAATGCATGGTACCCTTTCTACCCTTTCCTCTCTACTTGTGGCTACCTCTTTTTGACTGATTGTCAAGTATAATATAATATCCACTGGGACCTGAGCCTCCAACCTTCTGCTGACCAGTACATCTTTCACCACAGAGACATAGCCCGGGGGTATGAGGGAGTTCCAGTCCCCTGTGTCAACTCAGTGGACAGTGAGCCCTGTCCGGACAACTACAAATATGTCCCAGACAACTGTGTCACCTCCCCCATGAACATAGACAAGAACATCACACACTTACAGGTGGGTCATGTCACTGGATAGACCAGGGGTCTCCAGTAGCTCGCAGCCCACATATGAGTAGCACGCCAAACAATTCTGAAAGTACATGCAATTTTTTACGTTTTCCACAGCATACTGTCATAAACAAATATCACAAGTATCAACACCACAAGCTCCCAGCTACTATCTAATCAACGCAACATTGACATTATACCACCCCTGGTTAGCCACTATTGGCTTAAAAAGCCAAACCTAACACAAAATCTGCCAATTAATTTCCAGCAATATTGCCTCTGTCTGTGTGGTGCGCGTGTTTGTCTATCACTCTGTGTGTAGCCAGTTGATGTAATAACCTCTTGTGGGTTGACAGAAGTACTTTCCCCAAAACCTTCTCAATTAAATGTTAACTGCCAGTAGGCTTACCTGGCAGAAGTATATCATGAGTAAGTATATCATTTGAATCTATTATTTGTTATTTGCAAACTTTGCCATGAAATGAGTACAGACCGGCACATTCCTCACTAGATGCGCAATTAAAGGGCCAGATGCACAATTAAAGGGTAATTGCACTCAAAATGTGTTTGTTTTCATCCAGACCTAAAATAAATAGTCTTCTGATGTGATTTAAGCATTGACATGGACGCAGAACATCCAATTTCGTTGTTTTATGAGTGAAAAACTAAAATATCAAACCAGGAAAAATACAACTGAGAACATAATTTGGGAAAATATAAAACATAATTTAGGGGAAAAAATCACAGATTTTATAGGGCCCCCCTTAGTTGTTTATTAACCATTATTTTACCAGGTATATTGACAGAAAACACAGTGCACTATATCTTGTACACTAAGGACCCAGGGAAGAGTTGCAGGAGAGAGGAGAAGAATGTGCCTATTTGAAAGCTAGAAAAAAATGTGTAGCTCTCGACATGCTTCGTTTTTTAAAAGTAGCTCTCATGCTAGAAAAGGTTGGAGACCCTTGGAATATACCATCCTATAGTTGATCATACTTCATGGCCTGAAAGATGAAATTATAATTTCGTTCTCTCTGCGGTCCACAGTACTGTGTGTGTAAAGACGACTGCTCCTCAAGCAGCTGCATGTGTGGCCAGCTTAGCCTGCGCTGTTGGTATGACAAGGTAAGTCTGAACACTTCAGTATCACTTTTGTTGACAAGGTGCTGGTCTCTAATGATCGTCATGTCTATTCCATGACCGTTCTCAGGATGGTCGTCTGCTCCCGGAGTTCTGTCGTGAGGAACCGCCCCTCATCTTCGAGTGTAACCACGCCTGTTCCTGCTGGAGAACCTGCAAGAACCGTGTGGTGCAGAACGGACTGAGGTACCTCCAATTTCCTGTCTCTACATTCTACCATATTTTTACAACCAAACCAACACTCCTCAACCCTATTGATGAGAACATCTAGATCAGAAAAATGTATTTCATTGACTCAGTCAAACAGCAACCACTCATTTGGAAGTTGTAATGCATCTGACATCCCAAAATGCATGTTGGGAAAATGTGTTTGCGAGGTGAGTGTGTTAGAACATCCATGCTGAAGGAGTGTGTTTGTTTTCAGGGTCCGGCTCCAGCTGTTCCGGACCAGTCGTATGGGCTGGGGGGTGCGGACACTGCAGGAAATTCCCCAGGGAACCTTTGTGTGCGAGTGAGTCCCAGACATACCCCTTTCACAATGCATAGTTTGGCTTTATTTTACAGAACGTTCACCAAGTTCTTAGATGATTTCCCATTCAATGTCATGTGTGCATGGTGCTGCATTGCTATTTGTGATGTTGATGGGTCCCTGACCTCACTTCCTGTCCACAGGTACGTGGGGGAGATAATCTCTGACGCTGAAGCAGATGTCAGGGAAAACGACTCCTACCTGTTCAACCTAGACAGCAAGGTAGGGATCAGTGCTCATAAATCTCGCTGGCTAACTTTAGGACAAATCCAAAATGTAACTCGGTATCTCAACTTGGGCCACTGTAATTGCAGTGGTTTCTGCTGTGCTTTGCAGGCAGGTTTCAATCTGTTACCCAGTGATAAATAAATTTTATTCTTGTCTCTTGAGGCCTTTCCTGTTGTGGTTTCTTAAACACTCTGCTATTCTTCTGATCATTATCTTACTTTGTTATTCTGTGTGATATCTCTGTCCGTGAAGAATTACCACTACAGCTGACGCAGAGCCTGCTTTATTCATTATGATCAATTGATGTGTGTTCTTTGGTCGCAGGAGGGTGACGTGTACTGTATCGACGCCCGTTTCTATGGCAACATCAGCCGGTTCATCAACCACATGTGCGAGCCGAACCTGTTCCCCTGCCGGGTTTTCACGGCACACCAGGACCTGCGCTTCCCCCATATCGCCTTCTTCGCCTGCGAGACCATCAAGGCTGGGGAAGAGCTAGGGTAAGGGTCATTTAATATGCTTTACTTGACACAAGGTCAAGTTATTACCAGTCTTTGGAAGTTATTACCCTGTATGCATATTTAAGTTTGTCATTCTATGTTTTTTAAGCCTTTCATAAATTTTTTTAGCATGCCTTTGTTCACCCTGAAATCAGGATTAGGTAGCTTGATTCTAGATGCATCTAACTCGCTCTTTCTGTCCCAACGCTCCTCTCTCAGGTTTGACTACGGCGACCATTTCTGGGACATTAAGGGGAAGCACTTTAGCTGTGAGTGCAGCTCTCCCAAGTGCAAGTACTCAGCGGCGGTCATCACCCTGCGCCAGGCAGACAGCTCGCCCCAGGACCAGCAGCCCAGCACCCTCTCTACCACCCCCTCCTGAGCCTCCTCTCCCAGCCCCACAAATAGGACTTCCAGGCCAGCGGAGACATGTCTCCATTCCCCCCCAAACACAATCCCCCCCCCCAGGCCATGAGCCGTACATACCCAGACACCCCACCTCCACCCCCAGGTGAACCATCACCACAATGAACCTTCAGGCCCATCACTGAGATCAACGATCAACCCCACAGAAACCCACCTGCTTAATGTCTCATCCAGCTCTTACATCACATCCTTACCAGCACAAACTCTGAACTTCTACTGAAACTCCCCCTCAGTGCAGGACACATTGGACAGGAAGCAAGTCTGTATGTTCGTGTGTCTGAAGCGCTATGAATAAAAATGTTGGAGAAAAAAGGCCTTGCTATGAGCCTAGCTCTTGTGTTGTTGGTTCCAAATGGAATTCTCAAACCTGCTTTGTGCTCTATCCTGGAAAGTTGCAATCTGGGTAATGGTGTTTCCTAGCCAGTGGTCTGAATCAAGTTTGTACTAAGCAACAATGTATATCTATCCATGAAAAACATTTTCACAGTGCGAAAGGCATTTGTAGCATGAGCGCCCTTACCCCCTCACATCATACCATAGAAATGAGCAATGTTCATGCACAATTTATAACAACTGACGTATTTACCTCATGCTATATTTTGATTGCAAACAGGACAGAGGACTTAAGTCACAATCGTATGTTTTTACTGGACTACTTCTCTTGAGCATTTCTGCAGGAAAATAATGGTCAGTGCTAGATATCAATGATAAAAAACAGACTTTTGAATTATCACTTTATATTTAAATAATACAATTTTAAATCACATTTTCTATACAGAATAACATTAAGCCGAGTGTATTGTATACAGAACATCAGATATCAGGTTATGGAAAGAGAACTATCAATTTAAAGTCAATGAGGACACTGACCAATCATCTCACTGTTCTGTTCAGAGGGGGTAAAGTAGACCACACAGGAGTGGCAGATTATCTTCTCCGTTATCTGGCATGAATTCTTCAAGACAATGGTCCTTTTCTATTAGCTATTTGTCTAATGGAAACTGAGTATATGTGTATATGAAGGATGGTGTGACATTGAATGGCCAAACTAAGGGTGTCATGATTGAGGAATCCGGTGCACAAGTGTTTAGGTGGGAGTTGTACAGTTTGCCATACTGTACCTGCAAAATTAAAGCAGATGGATTTTTTTTTTTATCTGCAAGATTTTTAAGCATGTTTGAGGCTGACTCACTCTTTTGAACGTTGAGTCAAAAATATTAATTTGCCACAATTCTGACGGCTTTAAATGGGATTGAATGTTAATGGGGTGAGACTCAAGCAAATGGTGCTGACAAGGTTTTCTTTTCCGTTATTAATTTTGTATTACTCACCAAGTGAATACAAGTTGTAAAATAAGATAAAGAAGCAAGCTTTTCTTTTTTACATTTAAATGTACCTCCAGTTTTCTAACTGTAGTTACTGTAGTTATTAGCCTGTTAAAATTTTGTTCCATTATTTCATGTTGATGGAAACCTACACATTATTCCCATGTCTTTAAATGTGGTTAGTATGGTTAGTGACTCTTGTGCAAATTTTCAAAGGTATGAAAATAAAAAGGTTATAAAACATGAAAAATGTATCCATGTTTTCTGGACTGTGAAACGTCTAATTGGTTGTATCTTTCTTTTTCAATAAATGTACTACTAATGGATATGGCTGCCAGGTTTTATTTACAGAGCAAAATGAGGGAGCGCACCAGACAGGTTCCGGTGGATGAGGGGATCTGGAGGAGAAGATGGGGATGGATCGGCCACATCCTCCAAAAGCCCCCCTCCAACATCACTAGGCAAACACCATCCTGGAACACACAAGGGAAAAGGAAAAGAGGCGCCCGAGAAACACCTGGAGGCAGGCGCTTGAGGCAGATACAAGAGAAACTGGGATGGAATGCGCTGGAGAAGACCAATTTGCAATGGCCTATGCTCCCAGAGGAGCGATGGGCCTATGTAAAGTAAGTAAAATAGGTGTTTTGTACCTAAGAATTTCAGTGGTTCCTTATGTCATCTGGCAATAGAGCCCCACAGTGGACGCGTCATAATACCCATAAAACCTAGCGGTCAAACATGAAATGGTTCCAATTGATTTTTTTCACCATTCATTTTTCCCTTAGGGGATTTTAGAACCTTCAAAAAAGGTTAAATGGGATTGACTTCAAAAAAGGTCTGTGTTTCATGTAGGCTTTCCCTGACGTGACGTTTTGATAACCGTGTAAATCTTTTGGACAAGGTGACTTTTATCAATATATTTGGCTCTATTTTACTCTCCGAATCGAAAATGCTAATTAGCATCAAAGTAGACATGCAAGACTACAAATCCCTGCAAGCTCCTGCACGTCATCTCTAGCACACCTTTGCTGTCAGCAAGCTAACTACTAGCTACCTTGATCCAAAACGAAAGAGATATTGAACAATTTCATTTGTTGTTCCATATTGTATTTAACTAATATTTGTTGTCTAATATATTCATTTGGTCTTGTGTCTCGTACAGAATACTATCCTAGTAGCAGTCAGATAGTCCTGTGTAGCTCAGTTGGTAGAGCATGGCGCTTGCAACGCCAGGGTTGTGGGTTCGATTCCCACGGGGGACCAGTATGAAAAATGTATGCACTCACTAACTAAGTCGCTCTGGATAAGAGTGTCTGCTAAATGACTAAAATGTAAAGAAAATAATGTGCCATGAATACTAGGCTAGTTTTTGCAAACCTACCTAGATGATTATTAGCAGCATACTCTTATATTACAAGATCCTCTTCTCCTTCCCTTATAATTTCTGCAACTACACTACATGACCAAAAGTATATGGACACCTGCTCGTCGAACATTTCATTCCAAAATCATGGACATTAATATGGAATTGGTCCCCCCTTTGATGCTATAACAGCCTCCACTCTTCTGGGAAGGCTTTCCACTAGATGTCAGAACATTGCTGCGGGTACTTGCTTCCATTCAGCCCCAAGAGCATTAGTGAGGTCGGGCGCTGATGTTGGTCGATTAGGCCTGGCTCGCAGTCGGCGTTCCAATTCATCCCAAAGGTGTTCGATTGGGTTGACGTCAGGGCTCTGTGCAGGCCAGTCAAGTTCTTCCACAACGATCTCGACAAACCATTTCTGTATGGATCTCGCTTTGTGGAAAGGGCCTTCCCCAAACTGTTGTCACAAAGTTGGAAGCACAGAATTGTCTAGAATGTCATTGTATACTGTAGCATTAAGATTTCCCTTCACTGGAGCTAAGGGGCCTAGCTCAAACCATGAAAAACAGCCAAACTTTACAGTTGGCACTATGCATTTGGGCAGGTAGCGTTCTCCTGGCATCCGCCAAACCCAGATTCGTCCGTAGGACTGCCATATGGTGAAGCGTGATTCATCACTCCAGAGAACGCGTTTCCACTGGTCCAGAGTCCAATGGCGGTGATCTCTTGTGTGCGGCTGCTCGGCCATGGAAACCCATTTCATGAAGCTCCGGTCGAACAGTTCCTGTGCTGACGTTGCTTCCAGAGGCAGTTTGGAACTCAGTAATGCGTGTTGCAACCGAGGACAGACGAGGACGGCGGTCCCGTTCTGTGAGCTTGCGTGGCCTACCACTTTGCGGCTGAGCCATTGTTGTGACGGTGCCACGTTGAACGTCACTGAGGTCTTCAGTATGGGCCATTCTAATGCCAATGTTTGTATATGGAGATTGCATGGCTGTGTGCTCAATTTTATACGCCTGTCAGCAACGGGTGTGGCTGAAATAACTGAATCCACTCATTTTAAGGGTTGTCCACATACTTTTGTGTATATATACACTGCTCAAAAAAGTAAAGGGAACACTAAAATAACACATCCTAGATCTGAATGAATGAAATAATCTTATTAAATACTTTTTTCTTTACATAGTTGAATGTGCTGACAACAAAATCACACAATTATCGATGGAAATCTAATTTATCAACCCATGGAGGTCTGGATTTGGAGTCACCCTCAAAATTAAAGTGGAAAACCACACTACAGGCTGATCCAACTTTGATGTAATGTCCTTAAAACAAGTCAAAATGAGGCTCAGTAGTGTGTGTGGACTCCACGTGCCTGTATGACCTCCCTACAACGCCTGGGCATGCTCCTGATGAGGTGGCGGATGGTCTCCTGAGGGATCTCCTCCCAGACCTGGACTAAAGCATCCGCCAACTCCTGGACAGTCTGTGGTGCAACGTGGCGTTGGTGGATGGAGCGAGACATGATGTCCCAGATGTGCTCAATTGGATTCAGGTCTGGGGAACGGGCGGGCCAGTCCATAGCATCAATGCCTTCCTCTTGCAGGAACTGCTGACACGCTCCAGCCACATGAGGTCTAGCATTGTCTTGCATTAGGAGGAACCCAGGGCCAACCGCACCAGCATATGGTCTCACAAGGGGTCTGAGGATCTCATCTCGGTACCTAATGGCAGTCAGGCTACCTCTGGCGAGCACATGGAGGGCTGTGCGGCCCCCCAAATAAATGCCACCCCACACCATGACTGACCCACCGCCAAACCGGTCATGCTGGAGGATGTTGCAGGCAGCAGAACATTCTCCACGGCGTCTCCAGACTCTGTCACGTCTGTCACGTGCTCAGTGTGAACCTGCTTTCATTTGTGAAGAGCACAGGGCGCCAGTGGCGAATTTGCCAATCTTGGTGTTCTCTGGCAAATGCCAAACGTCCTGCATGGTGTTGGGCTGTAAGCACAACCCCCACCTGTGGACGTCGGGCCCTCATACCAACCTCATGGAGTATGTTTCTGACCGTTTGAGCAGACACATGCACATTTGTGGCCTGCTGGAGGTCATTTTGCAGGGCTCTGGCAGTGCTCCTCCTGCTCCTCCTTGCACAAAGGTGGAGGTAGCAGTCCTGCTGCTGGGTTGTTGCCCTCCTACGGCCTCCTCCACGTCTCCTGATGTACTGGCCTGTCTCCTGGTAGCGCCTCCATGCTCTGGACACTACGCTGACAGACACAGCAAACCTTCTTGCTACAGCTCGCATTGATGTGCCATCCTGGATGAGCTGCACTACCTGAGCCACTTGTGTGGGTTGTAGACTCCGTCTCATGCTACCACTAGAGTGAAAGCACCGCCAGCATTCAAAAGTGACCAAAACATCAGCCAGGAAGCATAGGAACTGAGAAGTGGTCTGTGGTCACCACCTGCAGAACCAGTCCTTTATTGGGGATGTCTTGCTAATTGCCTATAATTTCCACCTGTTGTCTATTCCATTTGCACAACAGCATGTGAAATTTGTCAATCAGTGTTGCTTCCTAAGTGGACAGTTTGATTTCACAGAAGTGTGATTGACTTGGAGTTACATTGTGTTGTTTAAGTGTTTCCTTTATTTTTTTGAGCAGTGTATATATATAGTGTATATGAACAAGGTGAAATCAATGTCAATGAATGGTGTCAGAATGCATTGCTGTATTAAAGCAATTCAGAACTAACTTGTTGACATGTTCTGTTGCAGATTCAAAGTCAGATTAACTCATTGCAGAATGTATCCATAATCATCCATAAAAAGCATATTTATTTGACAAGAATGCACCTAGTCACCCATCAATCACGTAAAACACCTGAACTCCAACAATTACATTGTTTTAAAGAAATCAAAATAGTAAACAATGCATACATATTTTTATACATAACATATAAACATCTGACTTTTAAGTAAAGATTAGAGAAACAACTGGATGTGTAAGGTAGGTTTAATATAAAATACTAGGTCAACAGACTCAAAACAAGGAAGCCATACCTAAATGCAGTTATATCAATTTAACAGGTCCATGTTGCTGCTGTTAATTGTGAGCAGCACTTTTACCCCTGCATTCAGTCTGAACACCAGAATGAGCAGGATGACAGCGTTACACAGGTGAAAAACAGGTAGCAAAAACAGTACACAACAGTTTTAAACGTGTTACTGAGTCTAGATGTTTATCCAATCAGGAGAAGAACAAGTGCGGGAAACAGTATAGGGAAAATGGGTAAAGGTAGGGTGGGTTTATAGAGATAAGATTGAGAGTTCCAAAATGTCAGAAGTTGAGGGACCATGGGGCATAAAAGGCATAGTGTAGAATAAGCGTTAGCTAGAGGGATGGTTGGCCATGGAATAAACATAAAACTAGGTTGTTGTCACAAATATAGGGCCCATGTGCAGTCATACTCAGGTTCTCCGCATGTTTCCCTCGACGTCATTCTGTCTCAGTTGCAGCATTCAAATCGTGGTCATCGTGTGTCTGTGAATCACAACATTACAGACGATGAGTGATCACAGCATTTCCACAAATTGAGTCATACACGATCCAACTTAAGCATTGAGGACAGCATTTCGTTGACAGCATGGTGGTTTACACTCTATCTACTGTGTGTGAATGTTGGAAGAATCTTACCTCAGCTCTAGGTCCATTTGAGTTTGTGTTGTCACTTAAGCCTGCACATCAACCACTACTGGGACCATTGGAGACTTGGGATGCTTGCTCTCAAAATGCAGGAAGTTAATCTGTGGCTTGGATTGAATTCAGAGTTGATACATGATAAACTAAGAAACAAACTACTGCACATGAAAGACTACCACTCAGGCCAGTACAATAGCCTACATATGTAGAGGAACCTAAAGGCACATACAGTGCCAAACAATACTACTCACCCGACAGACAGGGCAGGTGTGGACCAGAGCTGCCTTGGCTGCAGTCTTCT